GCTGGCTCGTCGCCTTCCTGCTGGGCGCCCTGCCCATCCTGGGCTGGAACTGCCTGCACAGCCTCCCTGACTGCTCCACCATCTTGCCGCTCTACTCCAAGAAGTACATCGCCTTCTGCATCAGCATCTTCATGGCCATCCTGGTGACCATCGTCATCCTGTACGCGCGCATCTACTGCCTGGTCAAGTCCAGCAGCCGCAAGGTGGCCCACCACAACAACTCGGAGCGGTCCATGGCCCTGCTGCGGACGGTGGTGATCGTCGTGGGCGTGTTCATCGCCTGCTGGTCCCCGCTCTTTATCCTCTTCCTCATTGACGTGGCCTGCAGGGTGAAGGAGTGCCCCGTGCTCTTCAAGGCTCAGTGGTTCATCGTGCTGGCCGTGCTCAACTCTGCCATGAACCCTGTCATCTACACGCTGGCCAGCAAGGAGATGCGGCGGGCCTTCTTCCGCCTGGTCTGCACCTGCCTGGTCAGGGGGAAGGGGGCCAACTCCTCGCCCGCCCAGCCTGCTCTCGACCCCAGCAGAAGCAAATCGAGCAGCAGCAACAACAGCAGCCACTCCCCAAAGGTTAAGGAAGACCTGCCCCATGCAGCGGCCTCGGCCTGCATCACCGACAGAAACAAAACGCTTCAGAATGGGGCCATCTGCAAGTGAGCGTGCCCGCAGCCCAGCCTGCAGCTGTGCTCTTATTTATTGCATGCACGCATTGCTTCCACATGGACGCTGCCAGGTCTACTGCACGTGGACGTGCCCAGGAGGCAGCCAGGGATTGCCAGCCCATTTCAGTGCAGACGACGTGCCTTGTCTGCTCCAGGCCCCAGCGTCTTCGGGATGTCCTGAGCTGCTGACGTGGTCTGCTGCCTTCCACTGAGCCCGCACGTCACTCACTCCCTGTGCTCCACAGGGAGGGACAGGGAGGCGCACACGATGTGAAGTGGCCTTCTCAGTGTGAAGCGCCCCTGGATGATGGGCGAGGACCTTACAGGACGCTCACCGTGCATGCAGTGGGTGCGTGTGTACGCTTACATTTCCATGCCACCTGGCACCTGTGTCCTAGGTGTTGGCTGGTGGGACCTATCGAAGTGTCCATGCACCATGCAACTATTTAACAGCTTGTACGAGTGCGTTCTGATGGAACCCCAGTACAAGGAATCGGTCATTAGGTGCCATGCCATCCCCAGTCTTCTCAGACTGACACGAAGTCTCACGTGAAGCAGGTTTTTAAGACCTAAGTTCCCAAAGAGGTGTCATCCAAGGCTGGTCCTGGGGTGTGGGTGTGGCCCAGCCCTCGTCCCTTCAGTCATGTGTCTCTGTACAAGTTTAAGCACACCCACGATGGCACGACTGGGTTTCTGCAAAGCACAGAAAAGCCAGCCAAGGCCTCCCAGGAGCCTGCATCCCCAGACTATCCGTAGGAAGCACCCATGAGGGAGAAAGCAGTCCGACGGCTGACCCGGCTCGCCGCCCTAGAAATGGCATGCCCATCTGCTCCAGGGAGCGCAGAGGTCCCGTGGGAGGAGGACAGGCTTGCAAGACAGCACTTCTAGTCTCTGCTGAGTCTGATTCTGTGTCAGGACAGCACCAGGTCAGTGATCCCCCACGCCGTCCACAGTCGGGGCTGGGGCCACCCAAGCTTCTGGAAAGCGACCCCATGCTGAACGCTGGGAGGAGGATGAGCTTGTCCGACTGGGCAGTGTGATCAGCAGCTTCCGTGGTCTTCAAAGAGACGTGACCTTCCCAACATGATGCCCGACAGCACTCCTCGAGGTTGGGCTGAGCTGACAGAGCTCGGCGAACCTTAGAAGGGGACGACTTGGAAGACATCTTGTTTCTTCCCAGGGGTTCCACGCGCAATGTCCATCGATGAAGAGAGGCGTGAACACGCATGTGGAGCTGTCACAAACACGAAGGTGCTGTGTCATTTGGAAAAAAGATTAACAACTTCAAGAGGATACGCTGCTGAGTTCCAGGGAGAGTTGTGCCTGAGCATACCTAAAAGAACATCTTAACCTGCCCATTCCTTCTCCTAAGAGAAATTGATTCCTGTTTGCATCTGGCCCAAGGTGGTCTTACTGAGGAACGTTTGGGATTCCCTAGGTTCTGGGGAAACTCCGTGTGGAGGCTTTCTGACGTGTGGCTGATGAGAGAACACCTGTGAGTGAGGAGAAGCTCACCAGGGCGGGTCTTGTTGGCCTCCTACACCACCAAGGAGTAGCTATTCTCTTGTCGAATAGCATGAGGAAACATAGGGCACTCCTAGAAAAGTACGGCCCTAAGTACTGGGTTAAGAACGTACGAAAATACCAACGCAGGCCATCCAGTGGCATATTGGCTGGGGCCCTGCATCCCATGTGGCCAACTGCAAGGTCCTAGTCCTGGACCCATGGGTTCAAAAATGCACCAGGCACATGTATGTGTCCAAAATCCCAAGAGAAGGATAGAGGATTGTGCTGTGACCACCCCCTCCCCCCGAGGGGTACTTTCAAACTTTCCTCTCCTCTCTCTCTCTCTCCAGCTAGCTCACACACCCTATAGCCAAAAAAAAAGACAAAAAGAAAGAAAGAAAAAGAAAAGTAGCACATCACGAGGAGCCACAAGGTCCGGGACTGTATTTTCCCGTAGGTGACGAAATGACTTATACCTTCATCAATGTCATCATTTTGAGTTGCTTTGGAAGCTTCGGATCTTTCTGTAGCTGTTAACAGTTTGCTCCATAACCCCAGTGTCCATGAGATGCAAATGTTTCAGCCTTTATCCATGAACTCTTCCAGGGAGCCTGCATCCACCATTCCTCCTGGGAGGTATTGATGTTTGTGGCCGGATGCAAAGCTCGTTCGAGAGAACAGTGATTTGAAGTTACAGCACACCAGAACAGTAATCGTGTCCATTCGCTATATGCAAAAATCAGTCACCTTCGATACCAGAACTGATGCTCCTCGCTAGCTAGCCAGCTGGAGCTAATGAAGAAGCTGGGTGTGCCAAAGCCCCAGCCCCGAAGTTGGACATAGGTGACCTTATACGCCAAAGAGAACTGTGCGCTAGGCTCATCTGAGTTAGTAATTTTTACTATTTCCAATGTCTGTTTGTAAAAATGACAAAATAAAACCAAAAGCCTTCGTACAAACCTGTCCTTGAGAGTCCATACGGAGGGACCGTGTCACTGTTTTTGTCAGGCCATTGTGGGTGGTGTGCAGTGTGGCAGACTCACTTCTCACCTGGTACCTGTGTTCCTCAGCATTTCGGGAATGAAATCACATTGAGAACTCCAGCTAACCTTTTCCTCCTCTATTTCCCCACTACCATGGATGGAAGGATTTTTGCTTTCTTTTTTTTTTTTTAAGTTTACTTCTTTCTTTTTTTTTTTTTTCTTTTTATGGAGAGGTTTTTGCTATAGGGCGTTGTGTACTCGCCAGACAGACAGAGAGAGACAGAGAGACAGAAAGTGAGAAATCACCCCCCAGGGGGGATGGTCACACCGTAATCCCTTCTCCATTCTCCTCTTGGGATCTTAGGCATGCACACACATGTGCCCAGCGTGAGTTTAAGCTGCTGGGTCCAGGACTCAAACCGCGGTCGACTACATGGGAGTCCAGCAACATAGCCATTACGCTAACTGCTGGTCCCCAAGTTTATTTATTTCTGCCATAAGATAAAGGAAGAGCAACCGAGAGAGGCACCCCAACAGGACCTCCACGCTGCCGCCCAGCCCAGGCTCAGTCTGCATTGCGGGCACATGTGTGCCTAGTGAACTCAGAGAGCCCCAGGATGCGAACCCAGACCTTCTCTGTGTGGTCAGGGTTATTGCTGCTGTGTCACCACCTAGACCCATTGATAGTATGCATATAATGTTTTGTGGGGGATAGATTTTTGCTATAGGGTGTGTGTGCTCACCAGAGAGACAGAGAGACAGAAAGTGAGAAATCACCCCAAGAGGGAATGGCCACACTGTAATCCCTTCTCTTCCATTCTCCTCTCGGGATCTTGGGCATGCACGCACTTAAGCCTGGTGTGAGTTTCAAGCCACTGAGTCCAGGGCTCGAGCCACGGTCGGTCATGCAGGAGTCCAGTGCTTTAACCACTATGCCACCCGCTGGCCCCCATAGATGGTATTTTAAGGAAGCCTCCATATATTGGATGCTTTATACAGGCCTTTTGATAGTTTATACTATTTCAAGGAAGGGTAATAGATGGCCCTTTGGTAGGAAGAACCTTATAAAAAACAAAAATGTATATATACAGCTCAAAGAAATGGGATGCTTGGTTCTGCTCCGTTTGCTGTTATTTATGCAACAGGACAGAGTATGAAGGGGGTCTTCAGAAGTTGATGGAAAATGCGCGTGATGCAAAAAAATCTATGCTTGGATTGCAAACATTTTCGCACCAAAATAAACTCTTACTTGAATTCCATTTTCCCGCCAACTCTCTGAAGCCCCCTCCTGGGTTAGAACTGACCCTTTACAGTTGCTCTCTCCTTCACGGTCTTAGCCCCTTCCATGTGTCCCACGTAACAGGAGGCCAGCGCCGGGCAGGACTACTCTGGTAGTGACACTTGTTACAGCTGGTGATGACATGCCCCGAACACATCCACAGATGGCAGCCCTGCCCCTTCGTCTACCCCTGAGTCTGTCCAAGGCCATCGAGGCTCTGGATCCCATTCGCATCCCCACCCCCACCTGCGGGGCGAGGCTTAGCTCTGATTGTCTTTTGGTCTCCTGGAGGCTCAGAGAATACCTGCTTCCCGGGGAAACTGTTCAGACTCCTCGAGAGGCAACACGAGGTCCGACGGTCACATCAAAGACACTTTTCACATAGCGTTTATTGCCAGCCAACAGACAGACATGTATAGTCATTGAGACGATTAACTAGAAATCAGGTGTTTCTCTCCACCTTTGAGCCGTAGTCATTCTGCGCTGGTAAAGAGCCTTTCACAAAATGTAACAAGGTGTGTTTTATAGAAAACATCTAGTTAAATGACCAGTTCCATGCTTTTCAATTTTATCTACAAATGCAAAGCCTCGACATCCAAATGTTTTTAGTATCTAAGTCAAACGTCCAAGGGTTTGCTACACAACCGGGAACGCACACACCACTGTTCTGATAGTAAAGGCACATTTTCCGACAACCAACTGGAATGACAAGTGCAGCATGACCACAATTGGTGTGCAGTCCTCCACTCCCGGGGCACGGCACCCACAGGCGGGGATGCCACAAGATGTCTCTGCTCGGCAATCCCAGAAGCACAGGGGCGAGCCCAGTGCCTCACTAAGGGCTGGTGACCGGAAACACCATCATTTCCTGAAGGAGTGATCCGGACTCAGGGTGAGGAGGGAACCTAAGCCAATGCTCTCCACCTGTTGTATTGTCAAAGTTCTCAAATGCTGGCCCGCAACACAGATTTCATCCTTTTTCATAGGACCAAGATTAGAACACTTGAAATCAGGGTTGTATTTCCACTCCTCAGAGACGTCCAAAAGAACAACTCTGTCCCGGCATCAAAGGACAGAGTGGTGCATGGGCAGCACGCCAAGACACGGCCCATTACAGGAATTCTCTCTGACTCGCAAAAGTTAATGGAAACAAAACAAAATGTTCACGTAATATTCATTTATCAGTATCTATAATTTGCCATCCAAATGCTTTTTCAAAAGTAATCAGTATCTTATTACACATTAAATGTTCATGGTGTTGTCTCCTAACCCTGGGATTGAAACAGCAAATGCTTAATTCTACAAGTTCTCAAAACAAGTGTTTACTTTTTAATTACAAAGAAAGTCATGTACTTAATTTTACAATATTCTACAACAAGTTATAGTTATAGTCAAGTCAAATGAACAGAGAACATTCTGCTTGCAACCAGCGTGTCACAAAAAAACAAACTAACGCAATGCTCAAAGATGGGTCGGTCTGTTCCGTTCTGCTTTGTTAGTTGTCTTAAGCTGGGTGGTTAGAAACCCTGGTGGTGGTGGAAACTGCGTGGCTGCGAGCCTCATTCCTCAAAGGCTTGGACTGGAGGCGCATTTCCCATGTGTGCATTTTTCTATCTATAGCATTTCACAGTGAGACAACAAACTAGAACCTTAAAATTGCATGAGATTTCATCTCCGATGCTTTCTTCAGAGAGAACATTCCAGCACTGGGGGAGGAGCCCGGGTGTCTGAGGCCTGGGATTCTTATTCAAGGTGTCTGTGACTAACAGCAGGGAAGAGGAAGGGAGGGAGGGAGGCTGGGGGCTCTCGCCTCCTCTCTCGCAGGGTCCTGACCTTCTGCAAGGTCTCTGACCCTTGGCAGCTGCCATGACTGCGCGAAGCCTCCACAGGGGCCTCCACCACCCTGGCTGGACCTTGCTGAGTCTGGGCACACCATGGTGTGCATGTGCGTGTGAGTGCGTGTGCACATCTGTGCGGCCTGCTAGGTTATAAACTGCAGCAGAAGCCTCTTGCGTTCACTGCTCTAGCCCCCACGCCCAGTACCAGGCCCACATGTGAACCAGCACAGAGACAGCCACGGCGGCTGTGCCAAGGGTGCGCTGTGGCACCGAGGGGCACAGCGCTGGGCCCCCCAGTCCCCTCCGCCCCGGATTGCTCTCCTTCGGCAAACCGGAGCGATGCCCATGGTGACTGCCGGGTAAGTAAAGGTCTAAGCTCGATCATCCCGTCCTTCGCTCCATGTTTTCCACCTTTATCCTCCACCCTCTCCTCTCCTGCCTTCCCCGCCAGCCTCTCTTCCACCTTGTCCCTCTGTCATGAGTGACCTGCGTCCTGTGTCTGACCCCTTTGGGGTAGGCTAGAGCTGATCAACCCCCATATTCGATTCCCTAACACTGGCTTGACTTCCCAGATGTCCTTGCTCAGTAACAACCACAACCCAGGGCGCAGTCCCAGGATGCAGCGGGAGTCGTGCATCCGCTTTGTCAACGGACGCGTGTGCGCGGGTGTGATCTAGGCAGCTCGCATCCACAGGCTCTGGGAGGAAGCTGCCATTTTCCTGGCTGCTATGAAGTGTACCAGTTTAAAAACTGTGTGTTTGTTGCTTGCAAACTTATACGTATGTATAAATTCCATTATAAATACATTGTGGCTGTCAGATGGCATTTTATCTGCCAGCGACGGCGGCTGCATGGAGTTATCAATGCTCATTAATCCTCTGCTTTTAAGCTCACAGCAGGAGCCCTGGGATCTTTGACATGAAGGAGAGGGAGAGCCCTCACTGAGGGACAGGTGAAACTCTACAAATTCTAACCCCTCAGTGCTTCTCAAAGTCAAGACTCCCCGCCAACTGTGACAACATCCCCTCTGGAGATTTGAGATGCCGATTCTCAGGCTCGGCTCCAGACAGACTGAGGCAGGAGCTGGGTGGAGCGCGGAGCCCTGTGACCTGTGTCTGCACTGGGCCCCGTTTCCATGCCCACCTTCAGATTGTGAGCACCTGTCTCTTGCCCAAGGAGTTCCTGTCTTGAAAAGTGTGCCCATGAAAAACTGCCCCTGGAAATAGTCTTCCACCCACAATGGACTTGGAAAAATATTCTCCCTCCACTGAGTGGGCTCCGAGGTGTGCCCAGCCCTGACCACAGGTACCTCCAGGGGTTCAGCCCCAGTGGAACACACCCTCCGAAGCTGCCTGACAATGTGCCCCTCTCCAGCAGCTTCCAGCCCTCCTGTTCCTGGGATCATCCCTCAAATAAGCTCCATACACTCGAGCTGTCTCTCAGGGTCTGCTCCTGGAGAAACCCCAGCTCAGACCGGGGAAATGGCACTGCTCAGCCCTTCGCCTGTTTTGAGACGGAACATAAAGGTGGAGTCTGGGAGGGCAGAGCTGGGCCATTCATGCCAGGTGAAGGTTATGTGGAAGCCCGAAGGGCCTTGCTGAGTCCTGTGCTGCAGCTCAGACTCAGACGCCACTGCCACCCTCCAGCCGGTCACTTGGCCAGGCCTGCTATCTCCAGCTGAACACCTTACAAAACCTCCCTCCCTTGGTTCTGTGTGGAGCTGGCAGGTCTTGCTTTGCCGTTTGTCCCATGAATGGGTTTATCTAGTTCTGTCTTTAAAATCCCAGGCCAGCAGGTGGTGAGTGGCTAAAGCACTGGACTCCCACATGGCTGACTGCGATTTGAGTCCCGGATCCAGTGACTTAGAACTCACACCCGGCGCGTGTGCGTGTGTACGTGTGCGTGTGTGCCCACCATCCTGAAAGGAGGATGGAGGAGAAGGGACTGTGGCATGGCCATCCCCCCGGGGGGTGATTTCTCGCTTTCTCTTTCTCACTGTCTCTCCGGTGAGCACATATGCCCTGTCGCACATCTCTCTCAAAGAAAAAAAAAAAAAAAAAAATCTGCCAGAGAAACAGAGTGGTTCTAGAAGACTCCTACAGGAATTTGGCCGAGCCTGCAATGACCCGTCTGCAGTCTTGCCACAGTCCTCCTGCCCACTGTGTCTGGCTGCTGCCACACACAGCAAGGGACGTGTGGTGACATACAACAGGACCAGGAGTGGGGACCCGCACACCCGCCAGTGCACGGGGACACCCAGGTGACCCTGCTCTCCTCTCGGCGCCCCCACCTGGAACCTGCAGTGAGGCACAAACAACTCGGAGAACTCCGCAGCCACCCAGGGCCATGCGCTCCGGACTGCAGCCTGCCCGCACTGTCCTGGGGCGGCCTGTGGTTCTGAGGCTCCTGCCCATCTCAGCCCAACGGGACAGGCTGGACGTTGTGTGGGGACCAAGGTGTCTGCTGTAAAGCACTACCTGTGCCCAGGAGCCGCCCAAGCGCCTGACGCTGTGGGGTGGGGCTCCATTTCAGCGCTGGGGGCATGGAGACCAACACATATGTGAGCTGCGCCCTGAACACACGGGCCCTTTGGGGCTGCTCCCTCACGGCCTGTCCTTCCGCCCAAGCCAGGCCTCTATCTCCACATGGGGCCCTTAGCTTTCTCTGTTTGTTCGAAGCTATCCCTACCCCTTGCACTGGGAGACCCTCGATGGCACCATCAGTGGCCAGGCTGGACCTCTGTCCATCTGGCCCCCCTTCCAAGACACCCTTGAGCAGAACATCACTTATCCAGGCTAAGCAAGCCGGCCCTCTGGCCGCTCGGGTACACTCAGCCTGCAGTGGTCACAAGATGGGCGTTAAAGCCCAGCCACATGACTTGTCGGACTGCCCACTAAGCCGATGGCCATTCGGGGAGTCTTGGAAGTCAAGGGCCAAAGATAACTCAAGCCCCAAGGAGCCCCAACCAGCCTCAGCAAGACAGAGACATCACTGGAGGCCCCAGCTGATTTGCACTGGATGGTTGGGAGGAGCAGGCATAGGCGGGCAGGGGTCTCCAGGGCCACTTTCAAAGGGCCGTTTTAGGCCTGTTGGACCCCTGCCTCGCGCTCCAGCAGATGCAGGGTTCTGGGAGGAGTGGGGGTGCCCACAGGGGGCCTGGGGGCTTGCCCATGGCAGGGAGTGGGTCCTGGCACTCTGTGGGCCCACAGTGGCCCAGCACTGTGCACAGAAGCTGTGCCTAGACACCAGGTCCCTGGAACACGCACAGTGTCGTGCCACCTGCCTGTGTTCCTGGGGCAGCTGGGCCCCATCCAGGCCAGGTGCACCCAAGGAAGCGTGAGGATGAGGAGCCCCAGCTAGGCAGGGCTGCCCTTGGAAATCGCCTCCCAATGCTGAGTTCCAAGCGCGGCCTGGCACGTGCTGGCATGCGGGAGATGCTGAGCGAGCGGAGGAGCTCTGACGCCAGCTGGCCGAGTGGCCTGGAGTGGGCGTGGCCCTGAGCTGGTGTCCCTGGTGTGAGTGCAGCTCTCAGGAGGGCCCCACACCGCTCCAGTGCACGCTAATGTGTTGCCCACAGAGGGAATGAGACGAAATCACTGCCACCACCACATCGCCAATCGGCGTGGCGGGCAGGGCAGGGTGCCAGTTTCCCCACGGGCGCTTTCCCATCGTAACCGATCTTGCGACCTGAGCCGAAAATGTGTATTCTGAATTGGTATGGAAAAGAAGAAACTGTGACCCCAATACTTGTAATTTTTTAATTGACGCTCATGCAAAACTATTACTATATTTGTCACGTATTGCCACCAAAATGGACACGGGCTTGTGAGCAGAGAGCTACCGAAAGTGCGGAGGCCGTGCCTTGAGCCCCGAGAGCGGCAATCAGTGCATGGCAGGCGTGGCACCCACTCCCTGTGCTTCCTTCCTGCCCTGCTGGTGCCAGCTGTGTCTGAGTGTGGCTATCCCCAGGGGCAAGGTGACAATGCCAGAAGGTCATGCCATGTGCTTTCCTGTGCAGCTGTGCTCTAGGTGTGCATGGACAGGGCTGCAGGCCTCCCAGGGGACAGACACGCTGGACAGTTCTCATGGCCACCCCAGGCTGTGTGGTCGCAGGGCAGGAGTCTGAACCCTGCTGCCCACACCCCAGTCAGCACCCCCTGGTCTGGACACCTGGAGCAGAAGCAGCCACACTGCACCGACACTGAAATCATTTTAGGAATGATCCACATTAAGTCCACCCTCCCTAGAGTGCCAACCCACTGCAGAACATTCTAGAAGACTGGCTCCACTATCACCTGAGACACATTGAACTCCCAAAGATAAAAAATCTCCTAAGAAGGCTACGCGTGAAGCCTGAGACCAGCCCCAGCCCGTCCTCACCTGGGAGCTCTCTCCTGTCCTCCCATCTGGCCACACCCCGCCCTCAAAGTAGAGACAGGGTTCACACACACAGCGTTAGAACTTGGCAGAATTATTACTCAGCGGGTGTTTGTAAGTCTCCCCTTAACACTTCTGAAAGCATCAGAGGTGCGACGGTCCAGCTCTGGGTGCAGCTCTGGGCGTGTGCAAAGCATCCTTCCGTTCAGCCGACCGAGGGCACCACCTGTGACCACACCCCGCTGAGATACGAGCCAGGCCGAGGCGCCATGAGCAGGCGCCAGGAGTGGACCAATTCGTCTGCCTTTCAGAAGATAGCATCCGGTCACTCACGGGGCAGCCTCAGACGGGACATTTTTACAAAGTTACAAACACCCTCAACTCCCCAACGCCAAACCACCCATAAGGAAATGAGACCAGGTTTTATCTGGAA